TCATCAAGTACTATGCGACTTTTTCCTACTTTCACGATTAAAACAACCTTTACGAGGACATTGTTTTGAATCAATTGAGTCGATAAAACGAAACTGGCCGAACGAGTTGAAAGCCATTTCAGTAATTGAGTTTCTGTTTTGAAGAATGGATAGAGCGATAGCACAAATAAGCAAAGCGGATTATTTCAAAGGTAACCAAATAGAAATTGATGAGCAAATGATTAGTTGTATTATTTATCTTTGCAGAGTATTATAAACAAGGTAGTAAATTCTAGCGGGTAAATAGAAGACAAATGCCACAAATCGTTAAAAATTGGCTTAAGTTTTGAGACAAAGAATTGTTCAGGATGTGCTATTATTTAGATGTAAATCAATTTTAATTTCAATCGCATATAACTGAAATTAAAAATGAAATTAATATATTAGAAATGAAATTTGTATTCAACTTTGATATGTAAAATAATTTACAATTTCTAAAACACGAGGGCGACAGAAAAAGTTAGGTTATGTTGAACGATTCCATTCCCATATGCTTTACGATAGATACTAATATATTATACGTCTAAACTAATACATCAAACAAAGTAAAGTATTATGTAAATTAATATATTTATAAAATAAAATTTTATATTATCTAATATATTATATAAGTGTATTTCACGTATGAACATAATAATGTATGAATATAATATTAAATTATGTAACTTTTCACATGTGTATACAGTAACTTGAACTTCAAAACAGAGTATAATATACCTTAGATTGAAGTGGAACAAAACTTATGCGTAAGAGTGAGCACGTATCTGTATAGAATACATACTGTTTCCTTAGTATTTACCATTCCATAATTAATCTACATATTAAGAAGTCAGACCCACTCTTCGTAGAGTCTGAATGTACTTAAGAAGTTTCAAGATTCAAACATCAATGCTACGACTGATGAAATTTGAATACAAGTTTAATGTTGAAACTGCTAAGAGGGTGTGGTTATTCGCGTGGCTGTGAACTATTGAAAATCAGTCCCCTCATTCAGCACTGCTGGTACACTCTGACGAAGCTGGGTGACAATTTATTACATATATACCTAACACCGAGATATTATACCGCATATTAATAGAACTTTCGAAAAGTTACGAGGTACATGTAATATCGATGAGTTTCTGTCCGTGGCACATTCGATTTCACTTCAAAAATTGAAATACAACTCCATTATGATCGACACTGTAAATGAAAGAATATACTACATGTAAAAAATTATATTAAAATATTTTGATAATTTAATGTGAAAGTTTACATAATTTTATGTTATAAAGAAAGCAAAATTTATCATACATAAGAAATAAAAAGTGCAATAGCTTTTTCAAACATTGTACATTTTTTACCGCGTGCAGCTTATTCGTCACACCAAATAATTTATTATTAATGACGAAAATAAATTACGTAATAAATTTTAATAAGCACGTAGTATTTACATAAACTGATTAATGAACATCAATAAATTACGCAAAACTGGACAAATTTATTTTGCTGTAACACGAAACTGTATTTTAATTTGAAATACAGCGTGGATAAAGAACCTGTTTTCGGTACAAATAGTTTGCTTGCATGACATAAAAAGAACGATGTCAAATATTTCTACTCTGAAGACTGCATCAATCTTACAGCTTTGTCCTTGTTTATTTTTAATATATATTTTATTCTACATTTTACACATTTTCTATAATCCTTCATTAGTAATAAAAATATATACATTTTATTACATTTCACAGAATAGTTTCTTATGAAAAAAAATATATAATGATTTTAACACATGTTATTGTAACTATTATATTATATTTTGTAACAGTTGAATTTTAATGCACTGTAAATTAAACAAAAATTTTCATTTATTTTATGAAAATCGGACTACCCTTTTAATAATGCACAGAAAATAAAAAAGATAAACTTAAATTCTTCTAATACTAACGAACATAAGTGAGTTCATATCGCCTTTCTGTAAAATTCATCAAATTAAATCTACCATCATGAAGTAGTTAAAATTTTCTGCATATCTGATGCTAATACGTAGAGATTCGTTTTTAATTAAGCAAATTGCAAAAGCTCACTAAAATTTGTAATTGTGATATGCTCTTCCTAAATGAATTTTATCAAAAATTTTTTCTTCCTTTATTTAAACAGTAGAATGATAAAAAATTTCAATTTTAACTCGAATAATCGAGGTATACATGTTAGACGCACAATTCCGTAGTTTAATTACTGAATGGGTTTAACATGAAAGATTCCATAGCTTGGTGGTAGAAAATTATGAGCAGATTTTCAGAAGTTGGGCACATATTAAAACCCATTTTGCGTCTAACGAGTTTCTCATAACGAGCATTCAAATACCGTTGCTCTATAAAATCACTTATAGTTCATAGCACTGAACAGAATCGCTTTATTTCAACTTGACTGCCGCTTCCAACTCACTCGCCCGCCAGACAGTTATGTTTACGCGCGACGAAACTTACGAAACTTAAGCAAATTAACTAACTAACGAGTAGATTACCTACACGACATTTAACTGCCAACTTCGCGCAGCAGCCAGACTTACAGTTTTCCGCGATAAATTACAAAGAAGCCTGCAAAACATCCCTTTCCAATATAGAGTTCTCGGTTATTATCTTGGTTTAGCGAAATAAGCTGGGATAAAGCATGAACGAGGTACCGTGCTGAGAATTAGAATAATTATGAACTACTTTGTCTTTCCCGTACATTTCAAACTTTTAATTAGAGGTCATAGTATTATTAAATCACTTCATGTTCGATGCAATTTGATGTAAACATTCTATGTTGTAGACAATTAAACGGTGCGAAAGTAGATTTAGATCGAGTAAGATATAAATATTAAAACAGTTAAAAATTAAAGAATATCATGTTCTAACACTATCTAATGTATTTTGAATCACTCTGTACAGGTGTACTTTGTGTATCCCAAAAATAGAGGCGCGAATATAAAGCCGGAACGATCGGCAATATGTGTATTCAGAAAACTGTTCATCCAGTTTGCACAATATGCGGGAACAGTACAAAGAAAGGAGATAAAAGGGCAATATAACAAAATGGACAGACAAGTGTCGATAGAGAACAGCAACTAAATGGCCAATAACTTATTGACCCAGATACAGCCGATGATATTGATCAACCACAGCATGCATGTCCCGCAATAGTTAAACACATCCCCTTTTAGTCACTATTCTGTGTCCCCAGGATGATCATGTGATGGATTGCGGAACGCCATAGAATATTAACACCCTCTTCTCACTTCACTGTTCTCTACCAAAATGTTTCCTTCGTTGCACGAATCTGTGTAATTACATTACTATTATATTTCGATGAAATGAAGAATTGTTCACAGTTGTTGTTCAACCGTGTTACTTATTTTTAAAATATCCTACTTAATGTTAGAAATCATTTCGAACGTGTTACTTTGTATACTCGTTATAGAAGAAAAATTTTCGTACAGTACAATTTTTATAGTATGAAGTTATTCTATAGTACATAATATATCTATCACGTTATAGTGTTATAGTTTACTATTGTCACCTATTTTGCTGTTTAACCTCAGCGATCTAATACGTACCGTGTCACAGGTCAGTTTATTCACTTCTTTGCTATTGCTTTACCCCTAAGCTATATCTTCGTTGCGAAGTCTTCGAACGTTCTTCCCGAACTCTTTTTTTTTCGTATAGTCTAGCAACGAAATTGGATTTATGGCTTTATTTTCCTCCATCGTGGACAATATCTACTGCAGATTGTTCGACGTGGAACGCGATTCTCGGTATTATGGTGAAATAATGGAGCCCTTGTGTCCCTTTCACGTCGTCCTTGCGGAAGAAAAGAAAAGGCTACGATGCGGATACTGACCAAAGCTTTGATACGCTTCGAAGTTGGTAAAATATATTTTCCGGGAGGTCCACGAGAGCGGGATTCTGCCTGTTACGTTTTTTGTCCATCGTTTTGTGAAAGTGGCGAGAAATTTTTGCTTTCAAGGCGAGCCCAGAAAAAATTCCAAGTATCTCTGATGTTTGCAAGTTCAAAGCGAGTTCACTTGAAAGTAATTAATTAAATATTTCGCGAAAAGAACGGCGCGGTATTAAAAGTGCTATTTTGGAATGAAGCTGTGAAAAACGTGTGGAGAAAAATGAAAGTATGATAAAATTAACTTCTAAATTGTTCTTATAATTTCAAAGAGAGGAATATTATTTCTGGCCGCAAATGAATTTTGTTTTTCAACTCGTTTAAGGTGCCGTTATATGAAAATAAAACGTGTTAGCGCGCTTTCATTTCGAATATTTTCCTCAATTAGTTTTGTTAGTGATATTTTGTGGAATCTGAAAAGTTGTGTAAATAGAACGGTAATCTTCACATTAATTATAGGAGATAGCTCTTGCAGTTTCAAGAGAACGTAGTACTTAAAATAGAAAATACTGTGGTCTACTTCATTTATGTTATTAAGTGCTTATGAGCCAAATAATTATAGTAAACAGAATATAGCGGTTACAGTACACACTTAAATTTTACAGAATTAGATAATAATACAAATAATCAATTTTCAGATAACAAAATTTAAATTAAAAACTTGTGAAAACTTCAAAGTGCACAACTGAACAGTGCTGCTTATGTACATAGCTGTATTTATATTACTTGTATTGAAATCCTTTAATAGCCTTTTATCAACAGTCAGAAGCATTTCAGTATCATTTATTAAATATATTGAAACCCAATTTAAACATCTACTCTTATAAAATAAGCTCACAATAAATTGCATTACATTAATTATTATAATATTATTAAATTAGTAAAGGAATACTTAAACAAATTAAAAATATTTATTATCAGAAGCTTTAAATTAACTTTATAGTCAAACATTAAATTCTAATTAAATTTGAGAGTTAAGGTTCACGCAACTGTTCACGAGATCAAGAATTATACCGCTAATGCAATTCTGGTAATCGCATTATAACACATATTGATTAGGTTCAAATTCGATATATGCATAGCAGGCACTCTAGTGGTCAATTTCATAAAGGCGCCAGAAAAAGTTTGCCGCGTTTTGGTCATCACCTGTTGCGTGCGACATGTAATGCATACTGTGTTTGATGTTTAATGTGTTTACTCTAAGTGTTGTGCATTTTCGGTGATAGAATGAATAAATAGTTATCATCATAATTCAGATTCTTGCTGCAAATGTAAGTAATCATTTTAATAAAACTATTTTGTATTTGTTTTTGAAACGTTAACCTCAAACATTCAGCATGCCGGTAGTGTTCAAGAGTTCTAGTATGATTACAATAATTTTATTGTATGATTGTTTAAATTTAGTGAGTATTTATTTACTTTTATAGGTATGCACTCTTACATTTATCATATTTGATCAATTTTGTGAATTCTTACAGTTAGAACTATTGTCTTGACAGTTGTGTATAATATATTATATTAGAAGTAGTACTATTGAAAGTGTTCAACTTCTTATGAAACATCTATAATTAATTAGATATTAGCTGATTTATATAACTATCCCCGCTGTATTTATTTAATAAAGCTATAATATTATTTTGGTACAATACGTTTGTTTTTAATTACAGGTATACCAAAATATTTTAAATATCATTTCTTATAAAGAAATTCCATACTGAATAGATTATTACATAAACCGATTCATAATGCCTGATTATCTTTCCACTGAGCTTGCAGCCACTTGTGCTGCGCTAGGTTATTATGATGGGTCTAAATATCATTTAGACAAACATTGCTTAGGTAGGATTATATACTAGCTGTGAATATACATTTTAAACTGAAAAATTTATTCACGTTGCTTATTCATTATAACAATTTCTTCATAGATGTTATAAAGGATTTAATTAAATATCTAAGAAGGGATAATGAAAATCATGTTGTACGCCAATTTCTTGGGCAAGCTAAACTGCTTCAAACTGATCTTATCAAAATCTTTATTGATCATTCTGATAAATTAGAACTTTGGGATGTATTGTTAAGGCAAGTAATAAATTATACAAAGTATACTGTATACCTCAATTCTTCTATGTTATTGACCATAACTTATTATATAACTAGGTTAATCATCAATTTAACAAGTCCAGTTTTCTTAGTATATAATGAACAAATTCCTACCGATAAAGTTCAGCGTGCAACATATCAAAAACTTATTTCTTATACACAAGATTATAAAATAGCATTAACAGATGATCGCATATGGACTGCATTAAACAATCGTTTAAGTGAACTTCTTAAATTAGTAAGTTCTCAAATTTCATCTCTACACATTATGCTAATATTTAGGAGTAGATATAACTGCTCCTTTTATTTCTCCAGGATAGTGCAGAAAGGGGGGAAGAAAAAGAAATGATTATTGAAAGAATTCTTGTCTTTGTTCGAAATGTGTTACAAATTCCTCCAGATGATAATGAAAAACGTGTTGATAATGATGTTACAATCCATGATGAGGTATGATACAGACTATTGTTTCCTTTTTATTTATAATGCTAGCTATTCTCTATACTACTTGTTTATTAGGTTCTATTTGCATTCAATGCATCTGGACTTGTTGATATGTTATTGTTTATCGCTAGTAATAGAAGTGAGGAACAATACCATTTGCAAGTGTTAGAGGTAAGTCAAAAATAATAATATGTTTATAACATTTCTTAAATATTAGTATTTTAAGTATAGTACTTGTTAACTGAGTTTGTTAGAAGAGATTGTTATGCCATAATATTGTGATATTAAGGCTTTTATCAAAAGTAGTGTTTCGATAGAATTTGTGTAGGAAACCACTACTACTTCTTTATTTAAATTTATCAACATGACAATAGTTGTCCACATTTTTTATTTACAAAATCTGTTTTCGTTGTAAAATATTTTAGTTAGAATTATTTTATTTAGTGTAATGATTGTCTGAACTTGTATGAAATATCCATAAAATTACTAAAATCCTTATTTCTTAAGATTTTGTGCGATAGTTTCCTCTTGAAGTGGAGCCGTAATAATTTAGTTCTTATAAAAAAATTTTGTTTTAAATACAAGTGAACAAGCTTAAATAAGAATTCAAAATTACTGAATACAAGTACTTCATAATAAACTTTACTGTTGTTAAATTTCCAGTTGTAGAAATATGCAAATATGTAAATATAACACTAGAATATGTAAATAAAATAAAAAAATATATGAAAATGTATAACAAAATTTTCTTATTAGATTATATCGTTAATGTTGCGCGATCAAAATGCGAGTCAGTTAGCAAGGTCTGGGCTGCAACGTAGTACAACTGAAAAAGAAAGAGATGAAGCAATACTTTTAGCTGCTCGTCTTAAAGAAAAACAAGAGAAAATGGAAAAAATTCGAAAGTATGCAGGTAGCAGGTAAGTTTTCTTCTCTTTTACCTACACATCTTTATATCTTTTTTCTTTTACTTTAATCAAGATTTTGCTTCAAATATTTTCTTCAAATAAGCTCCTTACAAAAGAAGAAAATCATTAATACTCTTTCAGCGTTTGTTTAGTCACAATTACTCTACCAATATCGAAATATATACATTTAAATGTGCTCTGCACAGTTTTAATAATTTGATTTTTTTATTCATCTCTAATTTCTCGGAATATCCAATTTTCACGTTCGGAGAATAAATATTTGAATAAAAATTATTTCTTCGTTTCATTGCGTTCGATGAATATTCCTTTAGCTAGTTTTCGTTCTAATATTTATAGTGTTATGTGAGTGTTTTATAAACAGTAACATAAATTGAATATTTAAATTTTTCACATGAACTCACATAAATTCCTCACTCAAACACAATTTATTTACATTGCATATAAATATGTATGTCTTCGCTTAAAAGTCTATATAAATTTTATAGACAATTAAACAATTTTATAAAAGTCTAATGAAATGATTCAAATCGTTACTGTATTTAGAAGTAACCAGTCTTTTTGAATTATACATAGTTATGTGGTTGGTAAAGCTATGTACTAATTTACTCAGAATTTCATTATAATCCTTAATAATGGCGGAGCTCCTTTTGTCTTTATATCATCTTAAGCACAGTCGCGATAGAAATATAGCATGGTCATAAATCATACGTCTACAAAGGACTATTCATTATACTTGATCGCGTTTTTAGCACTAAAACTACATATTGTTATTGACAAACTTCGTTAACTTCACACGTTCGCGCTGATTGGCAATTTAGTTTGTGGATTTCTAATGAAAAGAAAAAATATTTTCGTCAAACTATGTTGTCCATACTTAGCTATTGATAAAACGTCAATATCGTTTTTCGCAGGTTCAATAATATTGACAGTGTACACATATTGATCCAAAGTCTGCCTAATATGTTTTTCATTCATCAAACATTTTAATAACTGAATATTTTTCTGTTTCAGTTAATATTATACGTGTACATACATTCGTAGATATAAGTAACAAAAAAGCTGCCTTTAATATTTTGGCAGTCAACATTCTGATAAATTCAATTGCATGTGTGATTTTTGCATGTATCACATCAAAGACGTGTACACAAGGTAGCGAGTAATTCACAGTTAAACGCACGATAAAATTTAAATACAAATACGACTCCTGTGGGATAAACAAGCGATTTTACCCACGAGGGTTGTACATCAATGATATGACCTAGTTTTTGCAGAAAGCCTATGTACCGCCCGACTAAAAGCTTTTATCCACTTGTTGAAAAGTACACGTTTTATTCTTGTATCGTGCATTATTCGCATCTTTGTACTACGTGCCACCATTTCCTGTAGAAAGCTTTTTGCAGCTTGAAAAAGAATCAAAGGCAGTAAAGAGATCGACCTTTTTCTCTCACCCGACGAATTGGTCGGCGAAGAACACAATCGGAAGCGACAAATGACGCAATTCAGAAAATCATTTCAGGTTCGAGGTTTTAGGGACGGTATAAAATTTGTAATAAACTCTGAGATTTAGTTTTTACGGAGAAAATCCTGAATCGAGAAACAGCGGTGTTTCAAGCTTTACATTTTTCAATTAATCATGATTTCATTTACAGGGAAAGCTTTTATATTTTTAGTGTTTGCGAACTGGAATAAAATCGCGTATGGAACAACTGGTTAATAATTACAATAATTACTTTTTAATTATTAGATTATATGGCTTAGTTTATTCATTAAAAATTTATTAATTAAAAAGAGTCTTTAGATAAATTATATTGAAAAATTTTCTTTTGCAGAATACAAGATATCTTGAAAGTACTTTCCGTAAATTTTACATTTTATCAACAATTAATTGTCATTTCTGAACAATTATTTATGACACGAAGAAAATTTTATGAATTTCTTTTTTCTTACGTCACTTTATAAGTAATAAAAATCGCATTATTTTGCTTCGTTCTTAATGGATTGAACATAATATATTTACTACATGGAAAATATTTTTCTCTCGAAAAATATGCCGGTACCTGCTTTTTCATCGTTTAATAAATCTATCTGCGAGTGACAGCTACCTTTTATTCTCCCGATTGAATTTTCAGAAATCATAAATGAAATTGAATTTGAATTATCAATTTTTTTCAACTTATGCATACTGATTCGCACATTGGTTCTTTTTCGTTTTTACTTCGTGCCTTCATTGCAGGATTCATAAATCATATTCTGAAATTCTTGCATTATACAAAATGATCTTTTTCTTCTAATAAGGATTTATAAAAGTTTTCTGTCTTTCAACTTTGGTGTCTAATAAACAGTAATCCACTGTATATTCGTTGTTCTAGTACAATAAAAGTTTTATGATATTTGTGATGTTTTACAATTTTGTCTATAAAAAGTCTTAGGTTTAGTACATTTTTTATATTTCTGGGTCAACGCTGTTTTTTAAAATAGAAAAAAGATTTTAAATAAGAGAAAAAGTTTTTTTAAGACGAGTAAAAATTTTAGTTGAAATATTTTTGTATTATCGAAAATGTAGTATATGGACATTGAGGTGATCATGTTAAATAGGGCACCGTATATTTACATTAATATACATTAATACATAATATATTTACATTAATATCGTATAAATACTACGACGTGTTTAAATAACTATGTTTTCAGAAGACTTTATCTTAGAAGATTATTCTTGTACAACGTTTCTACATATATTTAATATGTATATTATGTCGATCTGAATAAATAAACACAAATTAACTTGTCCATTGTGATATTTTTTGTAAATAGTAGCATAAGTTATAATTTTGATTAAACAATTTCTGTTATATCCTTATGTTGTCGAATAAGTTTTAAACGTTTTTGAGGTTATATGTATTCTTCCGAGCTGTAGAAATGCAAGATGGATGACGCTACTCATAAATGGAAAATAATTATTCAACAGAATGTACATGGTTCAATTATATTATTAAACAAAGTTTATATTTCACAAAAAGGTTTAAAACTCATTTGATAATTCATTATATTATATGTTTTTCCATTATTTATTTAGGCATTTTGGCGGCACGTACGTCGTCCAGAATATGAAAGCTATCGGAGACAATCAGCTGTTATGTCACAAGCCCTATCAGAAGATCGAAGCTCTGAATTTTGGCAGAGACAAGGTAATTACTTGGTGGTTTATTAGTAATGAGAAGTAAACAACAGTTACGGTCTAATTTGAATTCGTTTTAATTCGTTAAAACCAATGAAACATCAGACCAGAAAACGGTCGGTTCAATTAATCTTTGGCTTCTGCCGGTGCTTCTCGTTAATGAGTAAGTGGAAAAGAGGCTGGGTGGATTTGAATGAAAATACGACTGTTAATTAGGACTATCCTCGCGTAATTAGAACTGGCTCCTTGCTTAATGGCGCTGAAACATTTAAAAGTAGGTCACCGCTCTTTTCGCGGACATTCTCCTCTTTTTCTTCTATCTCTTATGTCCTAGCCAGCAACAAGCGGACCTTCTCCCTCTTATACCGTTATTACCGTTTTCTTCGCGTAACATCCGTATCCGAGGAGAGACAAACTTTTCTCAGCTTAGTTCTTTGTAGCTCCTTTCATTATGGACTGTCATAAATCTACCGGGTCACATGACTGTCTACTATCCGAATTGAAGTGATCACTGACTCTCCTCGTCTCTTTTATGGAATTCTACCATCATTTTGTTCTGTTGATCTTTCCGTTGCCCCTTTCTATCTTTTTTTATGGACCTTTACATAAAAGGAGGGAAGCCATTACGAAGAGGGATTCAGTTTTCTGGCGAAATTGTGGTACACGATGCTTTACAATGTTTAGTACGACGAGCTCAGGAAATGTTATCGCAGCTTCATTGTACTAAACTTTTCTAATTACTAAAGAAAATCGGTATAAATTTATCTTGACACTTCCGCAGTTTGCGTTTTTTCATTCTTTTTTTTTTAACTGGAAACTGGGTACGTAAATAAATTTAAACTTAGAACTTGTTGCACAATATTGTCGCTCGCTCTAAAATACTGCGCTTGTAATTACTTATTGTTTGAAACTGAGAGAAATTTATCTCATCTTAGCGGAAGTGACGTTAAATTATAAATACACAGATTGTTAAATTTAAATTTCATTTTCCACATTTTTTAAATAAATTGAGTCTCGCGGAAAAATAAAATATTTTTATGTAGTACTTCTTTTTTTGTGATAATTTTGAAAATGTTTGTTGTGCGTGAAGGTACTTTGCAAGGTTTTCGTATGTGTATTAATTTAACAGACTCTAATCACTTTTTGGTGTCTCCAATTTTTTATCTAAATGATAAGATTATACTTCAAATTTTTTACTTAAATGATTATTGTATCTTTCATGTGAAGTGGAATAAAGAATTACCTGTTATGTGTTATGTGTTTACAAAATATTTTTGTTTTTCTGCAAATCATTAATTTGAATTCGCAGTACCTATTAATATAAGTTTTGACATAAGTTTGTATGCATTTATGTAATCAGGTTCCACAAAGCTGTAACTTGTTTAAGTCTTGGTCTATGCAGAATAGTTTTTAGTACCATAAATATTTTTTATATTATATAAATAATGGTATTTGTATTATTAGACATTATATTTGTAATCTTAAACTCAATTTTGTCACAAAATAAGATATGTACAAACTAATTTATATGATAAAATATTTGTAAATGTAAAATGTTAAATTCTCAAAGAATTTTTCGTAATATTTCGTATTATTTTATTGTAACATAGAAAAAAATGGCAATACCGAAAAATAAACGGCCTATGAAAGACCCCAGAAGCGAACGTTTATCTACGCTGAGTGTGAGGCTGTTTTTGAAGGAGTTTTGCGTTGAATTCTTGAATGCCGCTTATAATCCTGTGATGAAATTCGCAAGATCCAGTATTGTCGGCGCAAATCATCCAGATCCGTCTGAATCTGTTTGTTATCTTTGGATTATGCGGTTTTTCATGGAATTCAATCGACATTATACGTTTGAAGTAAAATATGTCAGGTAATTTTTTTTCTTTTTCAAAAATATGCAATTTTTTTAAATTTTCAAGTTTTCAATTTTTTTTGTTGTCAAGTTTCTAAGTTTTTAAATTTGTAATTTTGCAAGTTTATAAGTTTTTGAATTCGCAATTTTATAAGTTTATAAGTTTTCAAATCTCCATGTCTTCAAACTTCTATATTTTCAACTTTCTAAGTTTCTAAATCAAATTTCAAAGTTCCCAACTTTTCCAATTTCTAAATTATAAAACCGCTAAATGATCAGATTTCTACTTTCCTAAATTTGTTGTCAGATTTAATCTGTCCATTCTAAATATTCGTTTCCCTTCCAGTTTAAATTACACAATTTCCCTCAATTTTACACTTTTTCACTAAAAAAATACTTGCAAATTACCCAGATAAAATTCTAGACTTCCAAACGGGTTACACGCTTCTGTATTTTGAGCAGCAGTTTATATTTACTTTATACAGAAATTGAGATTGCTCGACCGATGTTTTTTCACCAAATATTTCTCGACAGCGAAACAATATCTACGGAAACATTTTACCTAGTGCAAAAACAGATGGACCATTACTACGAGATGATGACCGTCGATAAAAAGAAAATTCCAGTTTGGTCTCGCAGATTGCACATAGCATTAAAAGCTTACCAGGTGAGAAACTGATAACCGATGTCCTTATTTATTTCACCGATGGAACAAGTTTTTCCTCTAATTCTTTATTGCAGGAACTTTTGCACACTCTGATAGCGATGGATCAAAGCAAGGACCGTGGTGTTCGCGAATCCAGCAAAGTTATCAAAAGCAACGTGTTCTATGTACAAGAATATCGAGAAACGGTGCTCTCGCAACTGCTTTGTTTCGACGAGATCAAAATGTCACGGTTTGTATGAAAGAATTTTTTACACACAATGGAACGTGAATTTTATTGTTATATTTATTCGAACTCATGGAGCGTGAAGAAATCGCAGTTATTGAATATCGTGTAGTCGCAATCAGTTTTTAATAATCGATTGGTAGATAAATTCTGGGGTTTTTTAGTACAGAATTATTCAGGTCTTAAAATTCAGTAAATAATTTTTCAGATAAGCTACATTTAAATCAATATTTTGTTGTATTTACTTTATTCATACAAAATGTAAAAATATAATTACTTTACATCTTCACAAACAGAACATTGTATCAATAATTTTAATTAATTAATAGTTGTGTTGAGTTGTTCCTGTATTTCAGATATTTTACAACAAATTTTTTTCTGATTAACACAAAAATATAAAGTGCATTTGAAGGACTTTTAATTTAATAAAATTTGACAATATTTTTTATATTTCACTTGTGCAAAAAATCAGTATTTAAAAATAAAAAATGTTGACTTAAATCTATATTTCTATATTTTTATAGTTCCATTGTTTCATTAATTATAAACATCAGTAATATTACAATGTAATCTGCAAATGATTCTTGTTTATTTCCGTGTTTCAAGCATCTGTTTATGAAATGGACAGAAGTGGAAAATGAGAAACAGTTTGTTAAAAGTTCTATCTGTTGCGGGCAGATTGATTCGCTTTTAAATCAATTGGTTTGAACAACGAGGGAGCCACTCTTGTTTCGACTTCTTCGATTCTTTTCGACTGTTTCTCTCCCCATTGCATTCACTCGTTACCCATGTCTGGTCTTTCTCTCTTCTTTCGCGTTTCCTACTGGAATAAACAACTTTTATCGACCTTCCGGCCAGTGAAATGGGAAAAGGTGGTGGCTGTTCAACTTTCCGGGAGTTTGACGGGTTTTGCAAGGATTTGCACTGCGAAAATACAATGCCCTTCCTCATATCGCGATATCGTCGCTCTGACATATTTGTGACGGCGACGAGAATAAAACTTGACGGGTATACCGTAGCTTATTGTTAGCTTCAAATGTTACTTCGAAGGTGTATTTGTAACGGAACTGTTAAAATTTTGTAACAAACGCTATTGCGAAACTGCACCTACGTTAAATCCTGGCAGTTCCTGTGAACGTATGTGGAAAATGAGAGTTTAGAAAATTTGAAATTTCAAACAAAGAAGTTTAGAACTGGGAAAAGTTGAGAGAAAACAATGGTTTCAAATAATATTCCAAAAATTACAGTTTTATGGTATTATTTACTCTTTTTTGATTACTTTTTGGAAGATTATTTTAGAATGTCATTTTTAGCGATGTTTTAAATTTTTCATCCGAAAATATCGCAAGCTCTTTTATTTGCATTCAATGAACATTAACTAGGCATTCAAGATTAAATAATAAAAATTAACTGAATTAGTATTTTGAGTTCAGAGGACAGATTCTGTATAAATAAATAAATTGGAAATATTTGTGTTTAGACAATATTTGATTGATCTACTAACGACAGCGCATATCTTTCTGAAAATGCTGGGCCATCACTGTGGACACAATCGCAGTGTGATTGTTCAACAAGTGAAGCACAAACGTCACAAGAGTGGACATAAGAAAAGTGAGAATAATTTTTATTCTTGAATGAGCATGAGAATGATTTTTTTGACTAAAAATATTTATAGAAACTGTGCAGAAAGAACAAGCTCCTCCTCGAAGTTTGGAGGAACGTTGGGACGAAATTAGTCCACAATTGTCAATCGTAATGCGAGAGGGAACAATACCTGAAGTTGTGCCATTTGATGCGACCTTGGATACACCTATAGAAGATCAAAAGTACGTTCAAAATTCTGTTAAACAATACTGATAAATGAATTTGATATTTTAGAAGATTTATGTTAGTGAATAATAAAATTAATAAACGTATTCGATGGTTTATTATTTGTAGAGTCGATGCTATGAAGAAAATACAGAAGTTGTTGCGATCGAAATCTTTGGAACAAGCAGTTGGCCTTCTTCGTGCAGCAAGGTAAGATTATTTAAAAAGAAAGATTTATGTTACATGATAATTGTTTTCTGATTTTTAAAAATTGACATTTTCATATTTGTTTTAAAATGTGGTTTAAATGTTATAGTAATATGTAGAGTAGTGTTTATTTAAATAAGTATATCAGTAATAATGGAGTGACTTAACACAGTTTATTACAAATAATTATTTTTTATGATAGAATATCTTTTTAAAATCACACGGAATTATTTCAGCTCTAAAAATCCTTAAATATTGCATTTCAATTTGACAGAAGATTTTTTTAAATAGTCAATACTCTTTTAGTTCATTATTAATGTATATATTCCGGTTGATTAAGTTCATATTCATTCCAATGATTCTCATTTGTTCCGGTTTAATTTCACTGGGAATATAAATCAAATAACATGTGTACTAAATACTCTGGTGGCAAATTGAACATATATTAAATCTAACAAACACTATAAATATAATTGAGTTTATAATATATTTCATTGATGAGATACATGAATAGAATTTACTACAACTATTTACGTTTTCATTTCGTGTATCTGTTGAAATAGAGAGAAATTAAATGTTAAAGTACATTTTATGTCCACATTAAAATTTTTAGTTTATAATCCTAGAAATATATATGTATATATTTGAAGATACAATAAAACCTTAAGTACATACAAGCACACAAATCGTCATTATAAATTATAAATCGTTTGTACAACATTATTCGTATTAATATTTATAGATAATCCCAATTTGAAATATTTAAAAATTATCAAAGTACCTTTTTGGTATAAAAAAATTATTTTTTAAACGAAGCTAATTGCTTAAATACCAGAACGTAACGTGTTGTCTGAGCTTTGAATCGTGTGCACTCACACTAATTATAGCATATCTTTCACGTGTAACCAGTGTGAATAAAAGGTGGATTTTTTCACACCGGTTAACGGATATGAATGATGCTTGGGGATAAAAGTGCCATTTAGGTGGAGATATGAATACGACCCTTGAAGCTGAAAATAGTACTCAAGTTGACGACAGGTCATGTGAAAAAGAATACCTTCGCATTTGATTCAGAAAGACTCTGTAAGCGTCTATTCGTTGGTTCATGTTTTATAAGTCACCAGGAATACCTATATTTCTTTTTCTTATATTATTGACTTCTTTTTTTATAATCGATTATAAGATTCATCTCGATTTTTCTTATTTTTTAGAACTTGATTTTCACTAACAAAAACGCCCTCCTCAATTAAAAATTCTCCATAAAAATATACATTTTGATTTCTATTTCCTGCAGTAATTTTATTAGTTTTTATACATTACATTTCTATTTTCTGTCACTTGTGTTTTTTAAAAACTATCTGGGTGAAATAAAGTGACTAAACTATCTGGGTAAAATAAATATTGATTTTGTCAAATATTCACATTTCTAAATATTTGTATTGATTCTGTTCTCACAGTATTTTATAATCAATTGATTAATAAACTTGAAATTATTTGTCTCGATTTTTAAATAATGCACCAAAAGCCCTTTTACCAAAATAAAATGAATCATGTTAAATATAAATTAACAGTGAAATTAGCTTAAAAGTTCCCCTTTTTACTTCTGTTTACATAAAAATTTCGTGTATCGGATGAGGGTACAAGGTCGAGCATCGTTTCATCTTCGATAAAATATTAACGGTGATTTCACGAGTCAAAAGAGTTGAATGCTTAAAAGCGAAAGTGCTCGTTAGCGTTGATCGTTCATTCAGTTAAATTGTTGGTACCAAACTATGTATGAACCTCTGTTTCGTGTAAACCTTCGATATTTTCGAGCCTTCGTTTTATTTGAAACTCTGAGCCAATTAATTGGCCAAGTGTTTGCGCTTCTACCGATGTTTACATTGCATTAAATCCAGAAAAGGGATGACTCGTTCTTATATGTACATGAACGTCGGTTCGTCCGAATGAGTTCTAACCGACGCAGAACGTTGTTCCTTTGAAGTGTTCCGCCTCTAAATATACCCATGAGTCTTGTCCCTCCGTGAAGTTGTTTCTCCATTCCACCCCATCGATCCTTTTGGCTGCTAGCCTTAATCGTCGCTTCGATGGTTTCGCGGGGCGTACTATACCGTTCAGATGAACCCATTGATACGAAAACGAGTTACTTATATTCGCTTTACTTCAAAAGACTTTTATTTTTGCTACGATGCCTCGAAAATATCGACTCGAAAAAGTTCTTCAATTGTCAAATTTATATTCAGAGTTTCCATTGCTTCACTTCACAGAAGAGAAGAAAATCACATATGTAGGTTTTTTATGTCTCAAATTTTTCTTCACATGTAGCATGTTCCATATGCACTAGCTAATATAATCGATGAAGAACTAATTTTCCATGGCACTGTTTTTCTGTCCAAACATTACTTAAATTCTAAATCTACAACTCCCTATCGTGTGTTGTTTATAACAAAGATGACAAAAAGGTACATGAAAAGTTATATCTTACTTCCAACCCTGTGTACTATTCCTGCCATAAATCAAATAAAATATACCGGATTAAGAGGAAACGAGGTCTTATTCAATGTAATTGATAGGTAATTAATTCTCGACTGTACGTTCAGAATGGAAAATAACTGGAACACGGAGTTCAACAAGTGACTACTCATTTGTAACTTCGCCGGTATTACAGATACAAATTGAAAGCTTAAAATTCAGAAAATGTCTTGATTCCAGCTCGCGAAGTTTTCACGGGAGTTGAATAATTTGTATTGTTGTTGGCGCTCGTTACAGAGGCACCACAGTAAATTGTTGAAACGAGAAACTATTTTATCATGGCTACCTTTTGTCGCGAAGCCAAATGGTTATAGCCCTTCCTGCAAATTTTTCTTTAGGCAGTATCATCATCAGGGTACTTCTACGGGTTACTTTAGGAGATTGTTCGTAATATTCCGTCGTCCATTTTATGGGGTAAGCTTTGCCATGGCCGGTACACAATGGAAGCTTTTGGTACATGCCGACCTTGTGCATACAACAGGATAAAAGGAAGTAGCAGACTGTTGACTGGGGAGCCGTATATAGGCGCGGGCTCCCGGGTAGATATTAATAACACATTTATGATAATCCGACCGTATTACAGTAAACAATATAATGCCCTGAACTTCCTTTACTTATGTGGACGTATCATGTACGTCCTTGTGGCGGAGTGACAGAGCTTTTAGCGAGTTAGCAAATACTATCGTTTGGATACCGACTTCAAACCCTCTAATTTTACACCGTCTGCATCGGTGCCATTGGTAAAGTGTGTCTGCTGCTTTTAGCGCAGGCTTGGGTAACTCAAAGTCGCAGGATAATTAAGGAGAAGAAGCGCAACTCAACCCCTTTTTCTGCTAAACGAAGTAGTATAGCGAATGACCATCGAGGTCTTGTTTGCGTTCGAAAAGTTGTAATTTCCGCTGGTTTAAAGAACGGATTCAACCCCTTTAATTAAAAGCAAATGAAAATTGCTGATCGAAGGGAAATTAACTACCAGATTTATCGTTTGTAGCGTGTCGTTACTTCATTTTAAATAGTTATAAAATTCAAACTTTCACTTCAACAACCTTCGACTTTTATGCTTCAGAATTTGTTACTCGATGTATACGATTTTATCAAAAATAAGAGATAGGTAGCAACTCTACTATACGTAAATTAGCATTATTTTTAATTACAAATCATACCCCAAATATTATTACGCATAATTACATTTTTATTTTGACAAACATCAGCATACATTTCGATAGAAGCAATTCTATAATTAACTTTATAACAAAACAAGAGACAAGTTATACTTAGATTCCTCAGTTCACCAAATTCCATCGATTATTTTTCTGCGTATATTTTGCAAAAGTTCGACTACGTTTACGAGACCTGAATCAGGTAGGAAGCATACACTCGGAAGAAATACGTCGAAGACGTGCACGATTGTTGTTTGTACGTTACAATTCGGGTTCGATAAAATTTCGTGCGGAGTTTAGAAGATGAAGCCGGTGGTTGGGTGTCTTTCGAGTGTCAAGGGCGAAAATCGACGCGTCGAAATTATTCGTTCCGTGTCTGGCAAAGGAGCTAGTTCGAGCGACTGGATTGGAGGGTTGGTTGAGGCGCGTCTGAGAGATTCCATTGTCGCGAGACTTCAAATCGGGGGATAATGGGGATTGTATGGTACTGGATTTCTATTCAGACAGCCACCAGCAGCGGCCCGGACGAGCCACTTCTTCTGCCCTGGGGACAGCACGTATCCTCCCTTTACACTTCAGCCCCTTCTTCTGCATCTCCACCCTTCTGCCGCCCGCTTATTGGATTCTCCCTCCAACTTGGGGATTTTGCACTTTCAAAAGTAGCTAGACTTTTCGAATCCGTAGTTCGACAAATTAGCTGTCTGTCTTCCCTAAAGTAGCGACTATAAATTATGGGTAAATATTGATGGAAGTTATCACCCCCCTTCTCGATGACTTTTTAAAGCTTTGCGATCGAAATATCGGATGCTCAGAACTCTTGTAGTTTGAAATATTACGAAGAGTTAGTATATTCTCGAGGTCATTGCTCTACGCTGTGTTAGACAATTATGACAGGAATAATAATAACATTTGTTCGAAACTGTTTTCTTATTTTTATTTTCATATTTTTTATTTATTTTTATTCCCGTATTGCTTGTACATTTTTAGTTCCATACTGTTTATTTATTCTTACCTCCATATTGTTTATGTATTTTCATTTCCATAGTATTTATTTTTATTTTCATACTATTTATATTTTTTGTTTCTGCATATTTGTGGTAAAAAATCAAATTTTTTTGTAACGAATTAAGTAAATCTTCGTGATTCGTGTGATATATAGTTGGTATCGACGTATGAATCATTTGAGGTTATTGCATATGAAACGATTTCAGGGCATAAAAAGTTTGATACGACTTGATAACACGCAACTACGCCGAAGTATTATTAATCTTGCATCAGTTTGAAGCTCGCAGTTTCGTGAAAATGATTACA